ATGTATTCGCTGTCATCAACAACATTTTCTTCATCATGTTGTGAAGCAGTGGACAAGCCCTGAGACATGGTTTACCCAAGTAGACGCTAAATCGATGCATAAAAACCGGCCCGATGTAAGATAACCCCAGCATTTGTAGCTCTGTAGAGCATCGGGAGCCGCGGTGGCCAACTACCGCTCAGAAATAACATGCGCCCAGCAAATGGCCAATCTCAGTATCCTTCCCAGGCCCATAGCACAAGGCCATCGTCGGCAACGACTGAGTTCAAAATGCATGACCCGTATACCACTCTACCCGTCAGTGTGCAAAGGCCGACTGCAAGCAACAAGCGAATGCTTCGGGATGCTTCCTCACATTGCCCTAAGGAGGATGGTGCCCACAATCATGCAGGTCGCCTCCAGCGTTGGTGCTTCTGCCCTTGGCCGCAGATCGAAGCAAAGCCTTCGGCATCCTCTGCCCTCATTGTTGTACACCTGCTGGCATCTAAATCTTATCGTTCTGATCAGTTGCCACCCCCGACCTGAAAGTGGTCAATCAGTCCCAGCACTTCAATGTGGGAGAGGACCTCGAGCATACGGTCCTGACATGTCCAGAAGCCGAATCGTGCTAAGCACCAGTAGAAGTCGGCCTGAAGACTTGCATTGTGGCATATCAGATTTCTGAGCCAAGGCTCGGAATGCAAGTCGTCCGTGTCTGCTGCAGACTCCAGAACGTCCTTGCAAGTTGACTTTGCCCTTCATACGCAGCCTCAGGCCTACATGGCTAAGGAGGAGCAAGTGCAGACTGGCTTCCACGCGAGCCGTGAGATGAGAATAAGCGCGGAGTCCGGCCAGCCTTTTACGACCAGGCAGTGTCTTGCAAAGACATTTCCAGGGCATTCCAGGCCAAGATGCACCGTTGATGTTGATCCTCCCTGGTTGAGGCAGCACGCAGTGCTGACGTGAACTGCACCTTATTCTGAAATGTCTCAGAGGTTGTTGTGCAAACTGTGGAAAGTCAGCATGTTGTGGCATTCCATGCTGGCAGCTCTCAATAACTAACCCAAACACGACAGGAATTGGCCTTGGCCTTGCTGCCTGAGGTGGGCTTCATCATGGATGCTCACCGCAGGTAGCTCTGCGCCATGATGCGGATGTTATGTGTGCATGTAGCATGCATAGCAAGCTTTGGAGCCCAAATTCCTTTAAGCCCTTGAAAAACTTAGTCTCATGCCCATGGCGGGGAACTTCTGGAAGAACTCGCGGAAACTGTCTCCCGTCTTGATGCAGTGCCTTGAAACAGAAACATCGGTGTCAGAGCTGTCCTTGCCATGAAACCTTGTGCTTCCAAGCATCAACCTCTTCTGCATGCTGCGCAATGCTTGCATTGACGTCTTCGCTGGACGAATCTCTGCCTTGCAGAATGTATATTTGAGCAGCCACCTTGCCTATAGGGATTTTTACGCATATGCGGATCGTCATCCCTGTGTCCTGCCTTTAGGGCAATGCCATCATCGGGAGGGATAGTTCCCATCGCCTGACCAGGCGGATCTAGGTCTAGGTGAAAGCGGGGCTGATTCACTCTAGACCGCCTGGACGTGAATTTCTTCTGAATTGTAGCCGGTGAACACAGCCAAAGCCTCCTGAAAGGCTTGGCAAGGTCCTGTCGTGACATTTTGGGCTGCCAGGGCTGCTGCAGTGTCAGGAGAGTTCATGTTGTCTCTTCTGCGCCTGCTTCTGTAGTGGCGGCCATGAGGCTCTGATTCGCCACCAAATCGCAGTGCACGTGGATCGCGACGTTGTCTGTCTGACAGTAGTGTCTAGCCTTCATCAGTAGCATGCACGATTTCACAATGCCTCGCAAGAGGACCATAACAGATTAGCCTGCACTACTATCCGGCCACAGGGCATCCAGTGGCTGCACCTCATCCCAGGACTCTGCTGCAATCAAGTTCTGCTCCTTTGCAAAGGCAGCTTGCAGCAGAAGAATGACTAAGTTTTTACCCCCTGTGAAGCAGTTCGTATCATGAGAGAGTTTGGGACTTCCTCGGTCACCATGACATTCATCGGATACATGGCAGGGTAAACGGTCTGGCACACAGATGTCTCGCGCTTGTAAACCGGCGTGTTGGGCTGGTGCACCTCGCCATTCACAGGGCAGTATGTGAACCCTAGTCCAAACTCCTAACATCCCGCTTAAGATCCCGAATAGTAGTCCAGTATATGATCCCTTACATAAGCCCCTTTATGATTTCAGACTATGGCTCATGTCCCTGGAATTGCGTCGTATTGATGCTTCCCTTCAACAGCTCACTTGCCAAAAAGTCTCAAACGGCTCCTGGCCTGGAAGGTTTCCTGCGGCGTTGACGCAAGCTGAACCTGAAGCCAGCTACGCATAATTTGGGCGCTTGGGTTTAGCGTTTAGGGCGTTTCAATAATCCTAGCACCTCTTGGCGTCAGGGTTTAGGGTTTATAGGATTTGAGTAAGAATCTCCAGGTTGAATTGGAGCTCAGTCTGCTTCGAGACTTAGAAGGTTGTGTTATGTTGTGTTGCTAGTATGGAAAATGGAGACTATTATAGTATATTGGGGTTGCCGGAATTGAAGCTCTTTTGTTGCTGAGCGGCTATGCCTCGCAGCCGGGGACCGGGGATAAGAGGGGAAGGACGATATGGGGCGATGGCTGTCTCACAGAACAAGACCAATGAATCCAATCAGTTGCTGAGGAATTCAATCTGTTGCCCTCTTTGCAGGCTGGCTGCCAAGTCGAATCGGAGCGGCTCAGAAGGTGATCCGCTGTCAATCTGTGTCATGAACGTGCCTGCCTCAGGTTCTGCAGATGCGATGTACACGAGCCTCCTTCAATCGCTGATGCTGCTCGAGCATGAGCGGGTCTGCTGTAGACTTGCCGAGTGTCGTCGCAGTCTGTGTGCGGAGTTCTGCAGGGCTCATCCTGTTGCAAGCTCATGCTAAGTCTGTGTCAGACTCGTTGGTGCAGAAGCTTTCAATGGCCTGCAGATGGGGGCCGCCAAGATCATCTGCGCGCCATAGTACACAACTAGCATCTTGTTCTGTCCCTGCTTTGCTGTCCTGTGACGGGAAGCACCATGCAGGAAGCAAGGCTCCAAAATCGCGAATGTCATTCCCTGAGGTGTGGACTGCTGGGCTGCTCTCTGGACAAGCATGTGGTTGAAGGGTCTCCCTGAGTCCAAGTCCAACATGGCAGGGCCTTGCTGCTTTCGAATTGGTTTCTCAGGACCGCGCTCTGGGTCTTTGACCTCTCTCCACATCTCAGACCGTCTCCACTTCTTGAAGCCCTGATTCAGGGACATGCTATGTGCTCACTTCTGAAATATATAGACGGAAGCAAAAAGGCAGCTGTGGGGATGCGCAGAGGCCTCTGGAGAGAAGTATGCCACGCGCCCTTGCTTGCTGTAAACGTAGTCAATGCCCAACCAAAGGTCAGGGCACCTCAGCTCGACCCAAGACGCAAAGCATCAGATTGGCTGCCTTGGGCCACTGCTGCTCCACAACTTCTGGCCAGGCCTGCGCGCAGAGGGAATCTAGGAACCGGTAGAGTAAAACTTCTCTTACTGTTGCTGCGGTGTGCATGTTCCAGGCACCCCACCTCCTCACATCTTTTTGGGAACAAGGACTTCCATATCGTTTCCTGATGCCAGCACAGCTTCATCTTCCGATGCCAGCCAGGGCTCCACGTGCCGTCAAGCTTCTATGACATGGCACTGCAGAAGAACCAGCTGATAGAAAATCTCCGCGTCCTGCCGACCTGAATAAGGAAAAGCATTCTAATGGAGATGCAGGAGATCATCTCCTCTAGCTAGCGCGCCGACATCACAACGGCGAGGCGTCTGCATATTTGTTTTGTACACCGTCCATCCACAACATTCGAGATTGCTGTCTCCAGGATCCAGAACATGGGTGTGGGATGTTTGCAGTTTGGCCGAGGTGCTCTTGCTCGTGCTGAAGGCCACCTTGATGAAGAGCTGCTCAGAAAACGTGCCTCTGAGAACCTGCAGCACAGGTCAACGCCTTTCTGGACCACACGCATGCCGGCGTGAAGTACAGTAATTCCCAATCCTAGCAAAATAGACGGTAGCTTGCAGCCGTAACTAGGAAGATTCAAGCAGGTCGTGTCGTGATAGTCCATGCTCACGAAGCAGCAAGGCAAAGCACCCACTATAGTAGCCATTTCGTCAGATACTGGTGGGCCCGTTTCCAGGCTGTGCTGCTCTGTTCTGTTCTACCACGTTGTAATTCTGCCACGCTGGGAATTGCTGTGCTCAGCATGGTTCCATGCTTCTGGTATGTGCTTTGTGGCGGAGGGCAAGTGGGTCCTGCAAGCAAAAAGGCTTCGAAGAGACTGCCGCCTCCTCCATCTCATCGCAGCCGGGCAGATATGTGAAATCTTGACCATGCTGTGCCTAGTCAAGTGCAAGTGCAAGCCTGCAGTCGGGGCTACTACGTATACCAGGCAAGTGACGTCCTCAATCTCCTTCAAGCACCTCTGGATTCCACGGCAGTGATCACGCCACACCTGCACAGCATCATCTGAACCGACTGTTGCTCGGCACTGCCCTGGCCTGCAGTGGGCTTTGCGCCAACCTCTGCCAAATACCTAAAGTCTGCTCACATAGCCCAAGCAGCGCTTTAGTAGTCCAATCTGCACCATTACCGACCAGTTGCCCAAATGCTGGGAATACTTTTCCACGATGCCGTGCTCCTGGATGCACACTTCGCATTCAGGCATGGGAACTTTACTCGTTAACCTGTAAGGAGCATTTTGATAAGAACAGTGATGCAAACTCTTCGACTCTTGTGCGTCATCATGTGATCGATGCATGATGGCGGCTGCATGCGGCTGCAGGACTCATGCTCCTTGCGCAAGCCTTCCTCAATGTTCCGTCCTTTGATTTCGCACAGGACGCATCCATGAAGTTCTTTTGCCAAGGCCGGCAAGAATCGCAGCTTTGCGCGTTCACTGCTATCTAGCAGTCAAGGCGCTGTTCCAGTTGACAATTGCTGCAATAGGATCTTCTCCACAGGTTGACCTGGCCAAAGAGTGTTGCAGAAGCAATCCAGGGATCTGATTGGTTGTGTTACATTAGCAATGTTTCGACTTCTGTCAACTGCTGAGCCTGTCATCCGCGCTGTCCATTTCGTGGCCGGCAATCATGTAGACGAGATGCCACATGAGCTCATCCCGAGACGCCATCCTAGCATAGTCTGAGTTTGGGCGATTTGTCTGCACGACATCGTGCATTCTACTTGCCACGCAACATGGCACAACTAACATTTCTGCAACAGCTGCTGGGCCGCAGCTGTCCTGCAAGCCAGCAGGAAGTCATCTTGGGTCACCAAGCTTTCTGCTTCCTCGTGGACGGATGATTTAAACCTGGTGCACTTCAAAACGCCAAAACAGGAAGCTTGGTCGCTGACCTGCAACAAAGCTGCAGCTTCTGTAGGAGCTTCTTCATCTTAGGGTTCTCGAACTGAAAGAGGGCTCGGAGCTCCAGGTTGAATTCATCCTCCAAGGCCTTCCACCATTCCTCCATCCTCGCTCCAGGGCTGTGTAATCAAAGTCTAAGAAGCAACGGAAGCTGCACAGTGTGCCGGTGCAAGTTGCTCCAAGCCACGAGATTTTGCCGTTGTGGTCGCTGTCTACCATGTTGAATAGCCGGACCCATGCCTTTTCCTTCCAAGGCTCTTCTGCTCCACCTCAGACACCCAGGCATGAGTCAAGGTTTACGGCGAAAACTTTGAGTAAGACGGCGCACCTTCATGCAAAGGCTGTCCATGGAGCCTTTCGAATCGCTGCTCCTGAGTGTGCTGTTGTCAGGCGCAGTTAAGCTGGTTTAGAACTTGAGGCGAACGGTCGACCCACGAACGACAAGAACTACAGTACCCACCGCCTCGATCCCTTGAGGAAGGCTTCGACAGTGAATAGGTTTGATTTGGTATTCGGTCAGACTATTGCAAGGCGTCCAGAAGGCGCTGACCAATGTGTCCGCGCAGTTCTTGAATGCAGCCGGCATGAGGACACCCTTCACTCGACAGCCTGCGAGGAAAGTAAGAGGGCATTTTCAGCTCTCTTCAACCAAGGTAACATGTTTCCGGCGGGAGAAATGGACAAACATACCCACGCATACCTTGCCTGTTTTCCCCCAAAGGGCTATCGTAGCACGGCGCCGCCGAGGTCTCCAACACTGTCAAGCACGCTTTGATGTCTTGCTGCTGCAGCGATTCAAAGGCAAAGTAGCCTCCAAACACATGCGACATTCAAATGAAAGACTGTGAAGGCAAATCAAAGCAAGCTCCACACTTCGGCCTGTCCAGGAGCTGAAGCATGCAAGTATGCGGTTGATTCCGCTCCGATACAGCCTTGGCTCTTTGTAGCCGGAAGCGCGGCCAACCCATGGCAGCGTGCTGTTGGCTTTTTGGAAGACTCTGGGCAGCCCGAGGTGCTCCACGCCCAGGTAATCAAGTGGGTTCACATCCTTGGCTGAATGACCAGAACTTGGCCACAGTGGTCCTCTTGTGTGCCGAGGCTCTCCAAACGCCTCTTCGAGCTCGCCAGCTGACGCTGTGGCCGGTCTCAAACGCAGTCTTTCTAATACCAGCCTTGCAGTCTCCTCTGGAGCCTGCCAGGGTTTTTACACGAGAGACAATGAAGCGTAGGCACGCAAAGGGGAGCTGGCAACGCAAAGCCTCCGGGTAGAGGCATTCTACGGATGCGAGGAGAAGTTGAACAGGCTCCCGGAGTTGCTTTGCCTCCTCGTCTGAGGCCTTGCAAGCTCACGCAAATGTGAGGATCCCGACTCGGGTCGAATTTCAGCTCCAGAGGGCGCCTGCTTGGGCATCAGTTGCCGCAGTTCTCGAAGCAGTGCCTCTTCTCCGGCCGAACCTGCACAGCATCAAGCCTTTCGAGGCCTGTTTAACTCTGGGTACTAAAGGCCTTCTGCACGAAGGAGGCGCATGGCAGCAGTGGCGCGCACAGGCTCTGCTTCCGGAGGTCCAAAGATGAGCTGCAGCTCGGCTTTTGCGAGGCACTCTTGCTCGGCAGCCGCCTTCAATAATATTCTATAGTAGTTTCCATTTGATTTTCCATTATCCCTACATAATTCCCAATATTCTATAGTAGTTTCCATTTTCTTTTCCATTATCCCTATATACCCCCGCCTTCAATGTGAGTAGTCGCGTGGCAGTGTAGCCATGGCCAGCGTCGGAGGCAGTCAAGAAATCGAGGACGGCCAGGAGCGAAAGAACTTCTGCCAGACTCCCAGGCCTCCTGCAAAATTTACTATAATCCAGTATGCTTTAGTAGAATATAGTATATCGTACTATCATATAGTATAATATATTATCATCTTAGTATAGTATATTATAAAATAATAGAAGCAGCGTTGCAAGCAGCAGGCTTTCCTGTGCGCTGCGTCTCCCTTCGCTGCCATGGCTCCGCGCTCTGACACATGCTTAGCAAACCACGTAGCGGCCACGAAGGCAATGCTTGGGCGAGGCTCCTGAACAGGGATTGAAGCATCAGCCAGTGGTACTATATGATTACTATTACTATTATTGGTATCACTAGTACTACTATTACTACTAGAATTACGATTGCTATTAGTTATGATTATTCTTACTACTATTAGTACTAGTCTTACTAATCGTATTACAATCACTACTATTACTATTCTATCTACAATCTTCACGCCGAGGCGCGCGAGGCAGCGCCGTCTCTAAGCAGACCAACCTCTGCTTTCAATGTGTGGTGCGAGCATCCGAGAGGTGTTCTCAGCAACATCTGGAGGTTTCCCGTTAACTCAGGGACCCGTTTTTGGGGTCCCCCCATAATAAGGACTAGCATATATTGGGGTCTACATTTATATTGGGGTCTCCCTACTTAGGGAAACTACCATCTGGCGGCACTGAAACAAAAATAGCAGAAGACAATCCAGATCAGTGGGCAAGTGCCCTGGAACTTGCCGGATGCGCTCTTGAAGGTTCTCGAGGCCGCTAATGTGAAGCGACTGAACCTGCCATTACAAGGACAAGCGCCCAAAGGACACCAAGGGACCTGTTGGCAGATTCCGCGGCCTTGCCTGATGCCGCATGCTAGGTGCGAGGAAAGGAGTGTTTGCAGCATCTTCTGAAGGAATGTCACCATTGCCACCAAAGGCCAGGATGACATCTGGTGCCAGGCAGAGCTCCTGTCATCAGAGTTGACGCTGGCATCAATCTGAAGATCTTAAAGGGTTCCAGATTTCCACTGCAGGATGACATCTGCTTCGTCTCCAGACTGCATCTTGTGAAGCTCAGCCTCAGAGCAAATTCTCATTGCATACTGCGCTTTGATAAAGATCTCAGTCTGGTTGTCCAGGATTTCACTTGTGATTTGCCTTACGCCTTACTGTAGTCATGAAAGGAAGCAGTGATCCATTTTGACTGGGGAGGCCCCCCAGTCCATCCCAAAAGGGTCATGGTGGCCAACCACTTTTCTCAAGGAACCCCAACCTCCCAGAACAACCCAGGAAGGTTGGGCTAGCACATAGCAGTTTCCCGAAGTAAGGGGACCCCAATATAGACCCCAATATACTACAATCCTTCTCATGGGGACCCCCAAAATGGTACCTGCTAAAAGCTATCCTTCTTGAGCAGTCATG